CCAAATCATTTCAGAGTTAAAACTGAAGACATTTGAGAAAAAAAAATCAGCGATATTTTAACTGCAGTCCGGGCTGAGGTGCTCGACACATGATTCGATCGAAATTGTCAAGCGATAAGAGTTTTCTAGTGTTCGAGTCGAACGATTTCTGCTTTTGACTTTGTTGATTGAACAATAACCGGGTTCAGTTTTTAAAATTTTTAATCGGTTTTGTTTGACTTTACTTGACAAAAATCGATTTTGTCCAAAATTGTTCAACTTATTTGGACATCGTTAAAGTTAAAGCGATTTTTTTGTGCTCAATTAAGTTAATGTCGATTGTTTGAATTAAAATGAAGTCGGTTACCTGTTTCATTGTTCATTAAATGGGATAACAAAGTGTCAATATTACAATTGAAGCTTATTCGAGCTATAACTAGTATCAGCGTCTTAGACAAAATCTAACTAAAATTTTCAACAGAAAATCTAAATAAATTGTGTTTTTATTCAAAAAATAATTTTTTGTCTTTTAATTGTTCTCTCCATTTAATGACTGTCGTTTTTGTATTTGTTTCTGTTTTGTTTGTTGCTTTCTATTCGTCTGTTGCAGTGATTTCTATTTTGTCGTAACCAAAAAAAATGCCTGTCTAGTGACTGCTTATCAAGAACATTTTTATGCTCAAGCGGATCAAAAAGGGTTCTATAATGGGTCAGTGTGATCAAATTAGAGGTCAAATGGGGTCAAAAGGGATCAAACATAATCATGTTTGATTCCTTTTGACCCCAATTAACCCATGATTTGATCCCACTGACCCATGCTTTGACCCTTCTCGACCCTTGATTAGATCAGATTTGGCGAAAGATTCGACCTGACCTTGTGTTTGACCCACAAAATGACTGTTCGACGAATCATTAATTAAACATTTGAGCCTGAGAGATAGCCTCAGTTGACGAAGATGACCTATCTTGTAAGATTTTTGCAGAAATTATCTATTTTGTAAGATCTTGTATGTGGCGGGCTATCTTGCAAGATGTTGCAAGATTCTTACAAGATCTTACAAGATATACCATCAAATTTCCGACTATACAATCTTGTAATTTCCTGTAAGATTCTTGCAAGATCTTACAAGATAGCTTGCAGTTTTACCAAGCATGTTCTGGTAGTTTTGCTATTACAAAACAAAAAAAGTCACGTGAACTAAACAATTTTGTCTTTTTAAAATAATCGAAAGAAATTTTTGAATGCAAGTTGAAAGTCTGAAAACCAGCGCGCCGTCCTTCCAATTTTTCTCGATTTCTTTTCAGATATCGCATAATTAATATATCACCTAATTTAGCTGAGTAACATTCGTAATTTTTTTTAAAGCTTTAAAAAAGTAATTACCTACTCAACACGTCATGGCATGACACATAAAAGCTTTTGTTTAGAGTTTTTGGGCTACCAACTATGTTTATCAGAAAAGTTTGGTTCGTTTTTGGTATTTTAAGAACCTTAAAAGATAAAGCAGTTTTCTACCAGAATCTTCAAAGAATCTTACAAGATTTTCCAAGATTGGTCATTTTCGTCAACTAAGGAGCAAAGTCAAACTCAATGATATCAGTAAGAGTTGAAAACAGTTTACCCTTCAAATAGCAGCAACTTACGTTGCCAGCGTACCATGGCCTTAACCCTTCTTCCCCCGAAATTTGAGTTTAAACATTGTCAAATGAATTTAAGGATGTTTCTTTGTAAAATTATTCGGATGTTGAATAAGTTAACTATTCTGAACACAAATGCGTTCATGCTCACAGCAAAAATGAATCCTTCAGCTATAATAAAACGAAAAAAAATGAAAAAAGTCTAAAGTGGAAATTGAAAAATTCATTAAAGGAAAAAACTAAATTAATTTAATTTGTCAACACCCTTACATCAATATGTCAACCATAAAAAAACTATAAAGATTAACAAGTACGATTACATATAATGCAAAGCGTTGTGTTAAAATCAGTACAAACGCTAATAAACATGCAATCAATTCACGTTATACTGATTTTGACGTATTATCGAGAAAATATCTTATCAGTAAAAATTCACCACGTAAGATAAGTTTTCGCGATAAGCAGGTAAAGGGTTTTGATGATATCGTGGTTTGATGAATGATCAACCGAGAAGTCCTAATTGTTCCACTTAATCCTTCTAATCCTGTATATCATATAGTTTTTGCTTAGAAACACTTTGGAAAAATTGCCCAAATAGTATTTAGTTTCTCAAAAAATTCCATTGGATGAGAAAAGATTATACTCGTATCTAGTTTCAAAGTCCAATTGACGTTAAATAAACCTAAAACCAATTGTTCAAGCCAAACAGTTTGTTTCAGTTAAGTTCAATTGGTATGCTTCGACCGTCTAGACCAAAATTGGATATGTTCCGACTTTCTCGACTGTCTCGACCGACATTTTTAAAAAGTTCGACACCGCATCGTTATATTTTGACTTTCTCAACCAAAAGTGGGTATGTTCCGACTGTTTCAACAAGCAAACAAAATTTTTTGCTTTATTGATTGACGGCTATGGTTGCTCCAAAAAACGGTTCAAAAGGTTTTTTGGTCTCTCAGTGAAAACACATCTGATTTAATTTTTTTTCAAAATTTGGACCTGAAAATTTAAGTTTTTCGATTTGTACCAAAAATTTCGAATAATTCTGCTCCACCTAAGTTTCGACTGTACTCGACGTATGTTCCGACTGTGCACGACCTATGTTTCGACCCTGCTCGAACTATGTTTCAATTGTGCTCGACCTATGTTTCAAATGTTCTCCACCTATGTTTTAACTGTGCTGGATCTACGTTTCGACTGAGCTCGACGTATGTTTCGACTTTCTCGATCGAAATCGAGTATTCTTCAAGCAAATTTGGGAATGTTTTGTCTTCGTGCTTGTTGCTTCTCGACCGCGGAATTTCAGTCGCAAAGCTGCACTTGCTCGAGTTTTGTCAAAAGTCAAAACGTATGTCGAAGACCTTGACCTGCGTACAATTATGGTTTCTCTATGCATATAAAACTGAAAGACTACTTAAGCTAAAGAAGTATTAATTCTACCACCAATTGCTTATGATTTTTTTAACGTTTGGATTTCCGTCAAAAAAATTCCGTCAAAAAAATTGTTACTTGTGTTTTTTGCCAATTATTTTTTTCAAGAACCTTTTACTGTTCATTGAAAAAATTTAAAAAAGTAAATGAAGGAGGAGCCATTGACAAAAAATTATTCAACAAAAGCATACTTTAACTAAAATTTACTCAAACGGGAGTAGACAGAATGTTCCGACCTTAGTTTTGAAAAAATACAGCAAAAATTTTTTTTCAAAATATACTCATTTTTTGACAGTCGTAGTAAATTAAACAAGTTTGAAAACAATGTTTGTAGAAAAATAAATTTGAAAAAAAATCAAAAAAATTTTCAAAAATTTTTCCATTGTTTTTTCTTGCAGCTTTTAGAGTTTTTGAAATTTCTGTTTTTCAAAAGTTGCTAAAACATTCAAAAAATAAACACTTATTTTAATCGAGGGAAACTAACTTTTTACCGCTCAGCAATTGTCAGTTTTAAATCAAAATGTAAGCCTATTAATCAAAAATTTCAAACCGATTTTTCTCGGCACCGAGAAAAACCGGTTTTAAAAGTTTATAATGTCGTTCGAATCACGACTGAAAGGGCTTTAAAATGATTAATCAATCGACTCTCTCCGACAAGTTCATGTGGTAGCTGATTTTGCGTGGTGTAAAAAAAATAAAAACTAAAACACACCTGAACACAAAATGCATCTCCATTATTCAAATGATTGCAACAAAAAGGATAGTTGCTAAATTTGGGAACAGCACAGAATGTTCCGACCAGCGTCTTAGAAAATCACCCAAGTTTTGTATTATTTTAAAAATAGTGTCGTCATTTCTGGGTGATGTGATAAAAGGATCTGAACAAAAAACTAGAAAATAGGCACAGTCGACAGCCATAGCTACACAAGCTAAATGAAAAACAATTTAAGAAAAAAAGTGACTAAAAACAAAAAAATTCATTGAAAAAACTTTTAAAATGTTGAAATTTTTTGAGTTTTTGAAGTTTGGATTCACAAAATGTCGTTAAAAAACTCCAAAAACTAATTTTACTTCAGTAAAATTAAAATTAGGCACAAATAAGTTACTGTAAACGGCTTAAATTAAGCATAAACAAGCCTGCTTGCTCGCTTTACTCGCTAAAATTTAGACGAAAAATCAAAAACTTCAAACCGGTTTTTCTCGACAATGTTATTTATTTTGGAAATCTTTTAATGTGGTTTGAATCACGCCTGAAAGCGCTTCATTATGATATATCAATCATATTGTCCAATTGTTTTTTGTGGTACCTGATTTTGCGTGGAAAACGAAAAAAAAATTGAAACACGCCCGAATTGAAAGTTCCTCCCCATTTTATAGAACAAATTTCTACCCAGATTTTTTCCCTTTCAATGGTTTCATTCACCTAGGCTATGAAACAAAACCAAGTCTTAATTCAGTAAATATTCATTAACTGTTCCACTCTTGGGCTTTAATCAATCAGGTGAATTGATCGTGGGCATGCTAGTAGAGCATTGGGGGTCGGCGTAGATAAGAGAGGCGTTCTAAACTGCACTTGTCTATGAGCTGGCAACAGCAAAACGTATCAGCCAGACGGCGTGCGTGATCTTTTTTCAATCTTCCCGTAGACACGATCTGCACTTCGGTTTATTTTTCTTTGTCTTTTTCTATTCGAACTCAGGTATTATATTCAACTTATCTGACATTCCTATAGGATAGCCAAAAAAAATATAACGAAGCGGTAACAAATAAAATAGTTAGAAAGTGATTGCCTATAACTCTCAGCGCAGGCTCAGCTCAGTGTTTCAACACACAAAACCTGTCCATATATAGGGCCCAACGGCTTTGTTAGTTTTTTCTCTAAAAATAAGCCAAGCTACAGCTATCTGAGGAACAGTTTTGAGTTCCTACCTTAAAAAACAGAAGAGCAGACTAACCTTGACTATTTGGTATGTAGAGTAGTGGAGTTCGTGATAAAATGGGTTCAGATCTGATTTTCCGTCCATAACGGAAAAATTACAAAATTAACTTTTAAAATTATTGTTCAATTTGGATTCTTGGGAGAGTTTAAGATGGAGTATTCGAAAAATTTGCAACGGATAACGAAAAAACAGTAAGGAATCTGCAAAACGGATTCTGCAAAAAAACTTGGACAGATAATAGGCGAAATAATGGAATAGTGTAAACAGAAATCTCTATTTGCAGAGATGATAACTCGATTGATTGAATAGAGCCAACCACAAAACCACAACCGATAACATTGAGAAGTCAATGTTTATAAATATTTAAATTTTCACCAACTCAATATCACGCTTGATTTTTGATGTTCAACGTGAAAAGAGGCGATGAGAGAGTCGATGAAGGAGAATACATGCAAAAATATGGACAAATCGAAATGATTCTGCTGATTGGCTGAATGTCTCCAAACTGTTTCAAACTGTTGGAACCAGTTCGAAACCAGTAGTTTTTAAAAATTTTGATATTTACCACAGTCAAATTATTTATAACTAACCAGTCATGATCCATTACTAAAATGTGGGATAAATTATTTATAACAAACCAATCATGATCCATTACTAAAATGTGGGATAAATTATTTATAACAAAGCAATCATGATCCATTAATAAAATGTGGGATAAATTATTTATAACAAACCAATCATGATCCATTACTAAAATGTGCGATAAATTATTTATAACAAACCAATCATGATCCATTACTAAAATGTGCGATAAATTATTTATAACAAACCAATCATGATCCATTACTAAAATGTGCGATAAATTATTTATAACAAACCAATCATGATCCACTACTAAAATGTGCGATAAATTATTTATAACAAACCAATCATGATCCATTACTAAAATGTGCGATAAATTGTAAAGCTAAAGCTATTCATAGTTTCAGCCAGAGAATAAATTAAAACAGATACAAATCAGTTGCTTTCTTCTTTCCTCTAACCTCGCAAGAATACCAGTTTATTCTAGATCTATTGAAACTAGGAAAAAAGAGTAAGATAAGGACTAGTATTAGACTAAGAAGCTGCACGAGCCTATCCGGCCGAAATTAAGATAGCGTGACAAACAGACGGTGTTTTCTATCCAAAATTACTCTATCAAAAAGCCAACCTGGACCTCAACTCATCTGGTGCGACCAACGAGTCTCAAGCAGACGTAATACAAACATAGATTTAGAAAAAACCAAACGAATAAAAACAAATTGATAATAGAATTAGCTTAATTCCACGTCTCAATAAGTTTAATCAAGCCGAGCCAAAAGTTGAGACAAAATCAGATCACAAAAAAGACGATAAGCCGAAAACCTGCATCGCAAAACGAAAAAGCAGACAACGACTACCAAACTGAAACCTTCTCTGCAGCAACTCAAATTAACTATTATCATGAACTGCGTTATACAGAACCGTAAATTTGAATAAATGGGCAACATATTTCAAATTAAATACAAAAATCGGTACTATTACTTATCAACAGGACGTCGACAAGAACCTAATCTTAAGCTTGAAGTCTGCAGAATCATTTCTGAAAATTTTTATTTGAATTTTATATATTGCTTTAATAGACAATAATTACAAAAAAAACTAGTATAGGAGTTAAGTTTTAAAAATTTGGTCAAGAATCCATGCCATCAAGGATCATCAATTTTTTCTGTTTTTCATTACCTAGAACACTAAAAATTTTCAGTTCCATTTTATCCAAAATCAAGATAACCCTTCTTGGATCTTTAATCGTTTAAAAAATATAAACCTATTTCACTTTTATCAAACCTTCTCCTTGATCTCGCATAATAAGCCCTAAAAATATTCAATTAAATGAGATCATCAGGGTTTCTTCTTGAATCTTTAACTTTTAATTTTTTATTCTATTTAGAATTTCTTAACTTAACTTTTTCTAGAAATTCGGATCATCATGTCTTTCCTTGGATGTATGAATAATTACCTTTAAACTCAACCCATCTCTTATAATTAAGTGTCTAACGACCTAAAAAGTTGATTCACTTTCTAACCTTTCTAAACGATCCAGGACCCACCCTTTAATTTATACTAAATAGTAAAGAGCTCCAGTTATTCATTCTTCACTTGAACCCTATCTCTTATTTGGCCATGGCTTATGAAAATTATTGGATCAAACAACCTACGTGTGTTCCAACTATACCTGAGCCCTGCGAAGTGATTTACTACTCTCCAACCCTCGATTTCATGTCGATCCCTAATCAAGTGAGGTTGAGACTACTTAAATATAGAAAACGCCACATATGTTTGAGTGCATTAATACATCCTTCAATTGAATTGATGTACCTTCTTCCTCGCCTGTCTTGCCATGACGAAAACAACCCGAGAAAATAAGATAGCCTTTACAAAGAGAGTAAGAACTAACCGTTTCGGAGATAAACAATTAATACCTGGTTTTTGCATCAAGCATTTACAAACTGGTGTCAACCTCTAGCCTACCAAACAAACAAACAGTAGCTCTACACAATTTTCGAAATAAAGATTCCCAGTTTGACCTTGTCAAAGCACTGAATCAACAAATTGAGGTTACACAGAATCAAAAAAAGAATCCACAAAAAAACTCTCAATTACAAGCAGAAACAGATTCTGAAAAATCGTTTTTTTTTCAGTCGAAGAAACGCAATTTGAAAACCTGATAAATCAACTATACAAGATCTCGAAAACCTTCAAGATCATGTAAAAAATCAGCATACAGAACAAGTCAATGAAAGACATTTTTTCGATTCAGAAGCAACAAATGCATCATCTATAATAATGTAAACGAAGGATAAAAACTAATTTTAACAAAAAACCAGTACGAACATACGCTTGGAATCTACCCATAAGACATGATGAAAGTTACACGTTAATTTCGAGGTTGATTCTTTCCTAAAATCTGTCATACATCCCGGGAGTCACCCATCACGCGGACAAAATCAATTCTGTCATAATCTCACCATAAATTTAGTTCGAAAAGGCAGCAGTCAATGCCGACCAGAATTTCCAGAAGCCAATTGAAAAGACAAATACTGGACCCTTATCTAATAACGTTATGTAAAATCTTCTCACAATGTGGTGTATTCACTGTTGAAAAACAATCAAAAGATCTAAATAGAAAAAACCACCAAATAGAATACATAAAATAGAATGTTCACAGTTTAAAAAAGCTGATCGACTCACTATGAGCATTCTTGTTCGCTCTAGTATATAAAAATAATCAGACTGACAAACAAAAATGTCATACCAATTGTTCTCAAACTGCGGAAACGCATTGAAAACTTTTTAATGTTGTTCAAATTACGACTAAAATGGTTTTATTTTCATCTATCACTCAATTCAGTCGAATAACTTATTCTATTACCTGCTTTTGCCATGAAAAAAAACAACTTGAAGTCCCGAGATTGTTATGGTAGGCCACACTAATTGTTCAGATAGAAAAGAAAAAATATGCAAAATTTTTTGAAAACATTTTTTTCCTGTTCTTCCTCCAGAAAACATCCCAAAATTTTCTAATTTCGACGATGGCAATAAGATAATGTTTACCGTCCTCTAGATAACTCCAACTAAAAACGAAAAGTTGAGAATTGAAAACATTGATAATACTGATTTTTACCTACATTGATTGGAAGTTGAGCAGCGTTCATGTTCATCTTTTTAAGAAACTTGATTCATAATTGACTATTCATGTTTTGTTGTTAATGCGAACCTGATGAAATGATGAGGACAAATGATAAATATCATTGATATACCTGTTACTCTGTTAAATTGTCAAATTTTGAGATTGGGCGATACTGAACATTCGGTTATAAAAAAAAACAACAAATTGTGAGCCCAACAGTGATTTATTTTCAAACAAAATAATCATTAGTTAGAGGACAAATTTATCTCATGTTTCTCTGGAATCAGTTTCCTCTAAGATTCGATACTTTTGAAACAATCAAATTGAAATAGTTTTAGGCGATTGATCGCAGTGATTTTGAAAACATGTAATTGTTGTCAATCTTATGTTATTCAACTATAAAAACACTAAAAAATCTTTAATCATCAATTGATGGCTTTTCATTGGTTCAAACTGAGGAGAAATAATTAACTGCTTACTAGATGCAACTGAAAGACTTTTTTGTAAATTTTTAATTGATCTATTGCTTTGATGTCAAAAGGTCATCTCGGTATTACAAGTTGTCTACTGTTGGGTTGCTAGACAGGTTTAAGGACAGTTTCTTCTTTTCATAATGAGATACAGTCACTAAAAATGGACCATTTTAATCATATTTATTAAACCACTGAGCTTGAGAACACATTTAATGATCAAATAAGAAGTAATTTTTCGAAAAGCTAAAGGCTATAAACCAGTCAAAATGCCCTCTCTTAAATTTTTTTTTTGTGAGGGAAACACCTGAATTTTGATTCAAATGTTCCGGCTGACCTTTATTGACTTTTTAACATGCAGTGCTGACTTCACTAAATTAGTACGTCTCATTAGGAGAATCTTGAATTTATTCATTTAGTAGGAGGATGTTGACATGATCCGAAACTAAATCTGATGGTTCTTTAGTATTCAACTATTCAAAACAAGTATTTTCTAGATGCAATAAGTATCAATTGACACTTTAAATCAAGGATAACTGGTTGGTGTGCAAGTCGCGCAGAAAAATCCGATCACAATAAACTATCACTCGATCCATTCCGGTTATTTTTTCTGGTACATGATTTTGCGTTAAACAAAAAAAACAAAATCACACTGGAGCTCAGAGATTGCTATGGTAGACCACCTTAAACCTAAGAGGATAATTATTCAGATAGAGAAGCAAAAATAGACAAAAATTATCAAAGTCTTTCGAAAACAATATCTTCCTGTTCGTCCCCTAATAAGCAACCCAAAAATTTTTTTGAGAAAAGCAAAACGAAAAAGTTCATTGCCCTCTAGATAACTCCAATGAAGAGTAAAAATCTGAGAATTGAAACGATTGATAAAACTGCTTTCTACCTACACT